GATCGGCCACTTCGACTACGCGACCCTCCCTTGTTAGGGGTATTCGTCCTTCTACCTATGAACTTTACGCGCAAAATTTGGCAGCAGCTGCACAACAGAAGCTACTAAGTCACCCGATATCAGGTGCCGACATCCAAATAATACAGTCCTTTGAAGAAAATAAAAAAAAATAGTGAAACCCGCAACCCACTTAGCGATTTTCATGTCCCGATTGAAATCAAGTGAGACAAAACAAGCATCTTCTTTGCATTGATTCATAATATAAGTTTCTTCCAGCACATTCAAATCACGATAAGAGATCCATTCCTTCAACTGATTTGTCAAGACTTTGCCGCCCACGTCTATTCTACAACTCCAGAATTAAGAAATGGAGCATTGGAATAAATGATGCCACTACTCCATTAATACCTAAAATGGAGCCTCAGCTCCATTGATACCAAAAAAGAAGGACGGAAGAATAACGCAATACCTTACAAGTCCTTGCTGGATAGCCTTTCCGTCAAGAAACGGCGCAACAGTAACGGAAGAAAAACCACAATCCACGATGAGAGCACACCTGATGTTGCGACAAGATCCTTCTAGAGCTATGAATCCGGCAGCTCAAAATAAACCAAATTGTGTTGCAGTTGTCAGCAACAAATTTCGAATTACTTTGCACGTACCCGATGCTTTGAAAACAGAATGGAGGTCATGTTGCTCAAACAACACCTCCACACTGACATCTTCAATGGCAGGAATTAAATAGTTAGGGTCAGAAAGTACGATTCGTGAATCTTTGGTAGGATAAGACTCAAAAACGTGCTCCCAGATCTGCTCCTCCACGTCGGGATTTACTGCAAAAAATAGAAAGACAATAGAAAGCAAAAAATAAATGAGAGATCCACTAATATGACTTGTTTCGCTTTACTGCAGCACCCAACAGAGTAAATTTACAACTTTCAAGAAATGTCTGCGCTCAGATAATTGAGATCATCTCAAGAAGAAAAAAAGGCAAAACTGTTGAATAAACGGAAACTCGAATAAACTAGTAATTGTAAAGAGTAAGATGAGAGGAAATACAAGAATACAAGAACATTCAGCTTTTTCCTTTTACCATTTCATTTGCGTGGCTATTTTTTTTTTCGAAAATAATCAGTTAGT